AAAAAATAAAAAATAAAAAATAAGCTCCTGAAAATTTAATGAAATAAAAAAACATATATTTCTCTTTTCTAAACAAAAAAATCTATAAATTAAAAGGAAATCAAAGTAACGAAAAAAACAAATGTAATTAAAAAAGGAAAAAAATACATACAATAAGTTTCTACAAATCAAATAAAAATTAAAAAAATTTATATATATTTTCTTTTTTAAACAATAAAATATATAGATTAAGAGAAAATCAAACTAAAAACGAAAAAAATAATAATTAAAAAAAGAAAATAGATTCTATGAATTAAATTAAATGAAATTAAAAAATATGCTACTTTTTAAAACAATGACATCTAATCATTAAAACAAAATTAAATTGAGAAAGAAAAGAAATACCTAAAATTACTTTCTAAAAATTAAATGAAATCAAAAAGTGTATTTTTTTCTTTTTAAAACAATCGAATTGAAAAATTAAAAAAGAAAAGAATTTAAATTTAAAAAGATAAAATAAACAGTGCCGCCCTAGGCTCGAAGTCGGATCTTTGGAATGGCACACCTGTACTTTGCTCACTCGGCCATTGCTAATGTTGCAGCGACGCGAGCTAACAGATATACAAAAATTGGTTTTCACCACGAATGGTGAACGAGAGAGCTTTTCTAAGACTTTTGCGCTAAAATATTAAAAAACTTTCGAACTACCTTGCCATTTCTCTTTCATTTGTCTTTTGAGGACAAGAATGGTTCTGAAACATTGAAGAAAGCGAAATGTACGCCTAGTCGCTGCAATGAGAGCAGGGTCTCTTAATCCGCGAAGCCCCAAAAACTACCTCAGTATTTTACCATGACCATAACTGGTTTGACAACTTATTTAGACTAATCGTACGAATTGCCGCAAAACTTGCGACCTGCTTGGCATGTAGGTCTACCAGAAGAAATTGTTGTTATCATCGCAAGCTGGACGCAAGTTTGGACTTTATCCAACCATAGCACTATACCAGGATAGAGAGCTGTGTTATTTTGGGTTCTATCCCCAATCATTTTCCTATTGAACTGCTTCAAGAGTATAGTGCTACTGTTGCTTTGCGCACTCTAACTGCAATATTTGGCCCGCAGTTTAGTTTGCTATATAGTATAAGACCGAGATATTAGAAAGGAAGTATAACCTCTTTGTCTTCTAAGGTATCCACGGTGATTCGTTTTGAAATACCTGTTCTGTCATTTCGCTATCGTTAATGTTGTTCTTTTCTACACGCTTCTACAATGCTCGATATAACAATATCGAAGCCCAGCTGTCCTCCATTGATTTGATTTCGGCGTCGAAAGTTCTATTGCAACGCACTGTGAGGAAACCTGTCTATAAATTTTCGTACATGGCAAGTCACTACGCATGTTTCTCTCCCTCCGATTAGTTGCTTTGAAGTGGTCAGCTTTTTGTTGCTGTCTTTGAAAATTTTAATATGTGTATACAGCCTGTAGGCGCATATACTTGTGCATACGTTTACATGCGCTATTGTGCAACCCTTTCGAGTAGGGAGTTGTGTTGCTTTCTGTTCTGTTTTGTAATGCAATCAGAAGTTCAATTGCCGCTAGCATTCAGATCTCATTTTGCATTTCATGGAAATCTTTTTGCAGCCATTTTCCATACCATAACATTCACTCAAATGTTTTTATGCTTTCTTATTCATCCGTCTTCACCGTCTGTAAAGGGTGAAATGAGTTGTGCATCTTACTGTTGTTTCATTTAGTGCATTCTCGTTTCTGTAACTCAAGTACTCTCGAAAATAATGACAATTTGCAAATAATTTATTTATACTTACTTACTTAGCTACCTAAAAGCTGCATATGTTGATGGAAATATTTCCCCGGAACTTGTCATTTTATACGAAGGCAGTTTGATGAGTTGGTGAAGGTAAAACTTTCAGAAAGCCCTATTTGGTGCATTCATCAAAAAATGCATTTGTATATGACTTTGACAATTTTTTAAAAGTTGAATTATTTTCGTACCCTGCAGGGAAAGCTACTAGTTGTGAACTAGAATTCTACCAGTTTGCGTTTCAGCTCAACTAGTTCATGTTCTATCCTTTTTCAATGTTAGTGACTGGTATTTTTAACATTGCGATGTCCTACGAGATGTCAGTTGTCAGGCTATGCATCAGCATCTACTAGTATAAATACTCGTAGCATCATACCAGTTGATGAGGTAGTCTGCCAATTCATGCCCCGTGAAAAGCATTAGTGTGCCTTTTAGCTCGCGACGCTCCAGCAGTCACAATGGCCGACAGAGCAAAGCACTCGCGTGTTAAGCCTGAGGTCCCAGGTTCAAATCCTGACGCAGGAAAAATTTTCTTATTTTCTTTTTTTTATTTTATTTTTATTTTTAATAAATTTATTTTTTTGTTTAGGCTGTTTATTGTAATTTTTAAATTTAATAAAAAAAATATTTTTGTTTTATTTCTTTGTTTTTATAGCACAAGCATTTCTTCCTAAATGTTTTTTTGTAATGCAATTAGATTTTCAAATTTGTTATTTATTTATAAATTGAATAAATTGTTTTTACTTACATTTATTTAACTTTAAAAATCTTAACCACCTCCAAGCGGCCTCGAACCTGCGATTTCAGAACCAGAACCAGTAGTCTTCACGTGACGCCACAGCCGACATTTGTAAGAAAAGCAATTAATTGCGTTTTATTTTTGGCTTTGGCAATTCAAAGGCAGATGCCGCTGATCGCCTAAGTTCTTCGAAATTGTCGAACTGGTAGGCACATACTAGTTAATGAACTAGTATTTTTTCTAACTGGTTTGGCTTTTCACTGCAGGGTAGTTATGGCTTACATTTTTTTTCGAAGAAAACAATAATTTTCGAAGTGAAACTTCTTTAGCGGGGGTTGGTTGGTTGGGAGTAAATTGACAAATTCAAACGAAATTGCAACGGAAATGGTTGGGGCTGAAACAAGTGCTTCTTGAGTGTAAGCACATCGTATCAATTTAACAAAACTTAAAAGGTTAAAGAATAAAACAAAAAGATGAGAATGAGGATACCGGTAAAAGTAAAGATGGAGATAGGGAAGAAAGATTAAAATAAAGGTAATTATAGAAAAAGGATATAGATAGAGATCAATCTGGAAACTATTTTGGGATTTTAGATATTTTCGGGATTGTTATCGATATTTTTATCGATTTTGTTATCGAAATTCTTTTATAGATTTTGCTATCGATATCTTCGGGACTTATAGATATAATAATCGATATTTTTTTGATTATGTTATCGATTGTGTAACCGATATTTTTAACGATTTTGTTATTGGTTTTGTTATCGATATTGTTATTGGTTTTGTTACCGATATTGTTATCGATTTTGTTGTCGATATTTTTATCGAATTTGTTATCGATATTTTTATCAATTTTGTTATCGATGTTGTTATCGATTATTTATCGTTTCTGTTATCGATTTGATTAGCGGTTATTTATCTATTTTATTATCAATTACTTATCGATTTTTTTAGCGATATTTTTATCGATTTTGTTGTCGATATTTTTATCGATGTTGTTGTCGATATTTTTATCGATTTTTGTTATCGATTATTTATCAATTTTGTTATAGATATTTTTATCGATTTTGTTATCGATATTTTATCGATTTAGTTATCAATTATTTATCGATTTCGTTATCGATTATCGATATCGTAAGTTTCACTTCTCAAGCGTGGCCCAGGCGCACTTACTTTTTTTTCTCAATTGTCGCACGCGGCGTCATTGTCTGCAGAGTTATGGCTCAGTTATGCATACTTAGCAGTGCATGAGAGTTGTCACATAGAGAATCGGTTAAATGAGCTTTTCGTGTAAGCAGTTAGCCAACGCACAGCGTAACATATGTAGAAGTCTGTTGGTTTTTGAATGCTACGTAAAAATACATGCTATGCAGTGCAGTGCAAAGTATGTATAACTGAGCTATAACGCTGCTTTTTGCTCTGCAGTGGTGTCCAAGTGTTACGCTTGGAGTATGTTTATTCTACGGGTATTGCGTTAAAGCTGCACAGCTATACGCAATAATTCCCGAATCTGACGTCATCATTCGTGCATTCTGAGAAAAGTTATTATCACTACGACTTATTCACCTTTTGTTGATGATACAAGCAGGTGTCCTTCTTGGAGGAAGTTGCTCGATATATAAATGTACATCTCTCTTTACTCCCAACCTAGAATAAATAAACAAACAATTTTGCATCATAGCAGAATATGTTGTAGATAATTTATCTAGCAGAGTGTGACCTCTATAGGTCTAAATAAATGGGAAAAATTTCATATTTTCCAAAGTGTCGGAGAACAATTCCATTGCGGAGAAATGCGGAATTTCTTCGAACCCACAACTGTTTCACATTCTTCTTTCCAATGTATAAGTACTAGTTTCAGTATTTAGATACTCCAATATAAAATTTTGAAAATAATTACGTGTAGTCAATTTAAATATACAAAAGGAACTTTTAAAGTCAAACATAGATGTCCATATGCACTTGGGATACTAATTTTCAGAAGTGATAGTTACGCATCGTTTAGTGGTAATTTTTATTACACCAATTATGGAGGCTATTTATTTTTGTGTTTGACCTAGCCTGAGGCCTGTCCACAAGTAAATCAAGTTTCTTTACATTGCCAGTACATTAAGTACACACCAACACACACGCATAAATTTCATCGCTGGGATATTTTGTATACGTACATATGTATATACATACAAATTTATATGAAACTCTACCAAAGTGTGACCCAATTAACAGTTGCTGCAACATAGTTGTTATCGAAATGCGAACAATAAAATTCAGGAAGCCAGCGACACAGAAAAACACTGAGATTGCATTTTAGGTAGAAAAACACTGCACCAAATAGAGAATTTTCCAAAAAAAAACAAAAAAAAAATACTATACATAAAAGTAACCGGGTATGCAGTGATTGCAACTGCAACAAATTTTAATGCTACAAATTTTGTAAACTGCTACATTTTGCTGTGGGATAATGGTGGAAGTTGAAAAATGCGAAAAGCCATTCACTTTATCGGCCACTTCCAGTTGGTTGGTTGGTTGGTTGGCTGGTGTGCCTGACATGGCGACGGATGTAGCAGGTGAGTGGCGCCAGCAGTGGTGGATACGTATGTACCTACATACATACATATCTACTTAGAAAAGCTATGTATGCATTGTGCAACTTCTTAGCAGTGCGTAACTTTGTGAACTTTTTGCGTGGCAGTTGCTGCTGAATAACTATGTATGTATTGGGGTGGTCCTAAAAGTATCAACGTGTAAATTTTTTATGGCGCATGCCTTTATTTTGTTATATGCATATAATGACAACATCCACGAAAAATTCCAAATTTCAAAAAAAAAATTAACAAGTCGGTTCAAAAAAAATAAAAAAATTTTTTCGCAAATTTTGATTTGAAATCTGATAAATTGGATAAGTTATTTGAACACATATTAAAATCATAAACTTGCTTGAGTTATAGCTGGTCAAAATCAAAATTTTGTAAAATTTTTGCTTAAAAAAAAAAATAATTTTTTTCAAACTCTTGCAGTGAGTGACCCCTGATTTTATTTTTATTTATTTTAAATCTTAATGGATGCTTCATTTTGTACGTAGAAAAAAATAAAGGGGATGTTGATTGTTAAGGATCACCCTAGTGTGCTTGTATATTTTTTTACAAGTGCTGATACTTTAGGAAACAACTTAAACAAATAATGTTCTCTTATCGGGCAATGGATATGCACCAATGTACATATGTGTGTATGAGTGTTTGCAAAAACATATCGAACATTTTTTTCCAAAGTGTATTAGCTTAAAACTTGTAATTTAAAAGGAAATACTTCCTTTGCCCATACGATTGATATTTGGTAAGACATAATGGAAAGTTACAGTTGCTCGACTATATTCAATGCCTACTCTTTCGTCCTCGTTTGCTCCTCCTAAGCAACGTAAGAAACTCGTGTGCGAGAGGCGGCAAGCAGTAAAAAGAGAGGGAGAAGTCAGCAGAGTATGTTCACCTTGTAGTGCAGCTGCAAACGGTTGTGTGTTTTTGAGCAAACGGCTAGTATTTAAAAATTTCTTCAGCATAGAACGAGAACTTGGTGGCAACTACGGCAAACGTTCAGAAGGCCCCGACTTAACGGTATGCAACTAGAATGTCAGGACTCTTAATTGCGAAGGTGCCTCTGCCCGGCTGGTTGGTGTGCCATTTCCAATTGATATAGCAGAAGAAAAACAATTGGCGTGCCCAAGAAGAAGAAAATTTCGATCTTATTATACCTCTTAGGGTCGCAATCGACTGCCTTTTTGAACGAAAAGCCGAAATTATTTTTAGCCCAACTCTTTCACCACACAAGAGTTAGGGAAGTCTGTCGAATAGAAGTAAGGCGCTTATGGAATCGAAAGGGGCATCTAGGGAACTAGTGCTTAGCGTAGTCATCAGCGCTAGTACGGATATCTCATACCATCCGAAGGGGCTTCGAGAACCTCCGATCAGGGGCATCGCGGTATGCCGCATGGGCGAGAAAGCAGCACTCAGACCATCCGTATATAGTTGTTGTTGCAAACAGTTCAATTTTAATTGTTTTCGCATTTTGTTTTAATTAGTTTTTGAAATTAAACTTCATAATAAAGATAAATGTTCAGATGTAGAATGATAAAAAATGATGAAAATAAGAATATTAAATTAAAAATTTAAGAGAAGGACGAAAATGAAAACATATGTATGTATAAGAACTGAGTAGTCCACTTGCAAACAGCGTTATGTGATTTTATAATAGACTACGACAACAAATAACATCTAAATTTAATCCTTTTTTTTATTACCTGAAAATTTAGATAAACAAGAGCCTAATAACATTTAAAAATAAAATCGCAGTTTGGTAGTTTATGCAAATTTTATATTAAACAAGTAAGAAAGTCTAAGTTCGGGCGGAGCCGAACATTAAATACCCGGCGCAAGTATTAAATATATGTTTTTTTCACCTTTACGAAACCTACCGCTAGATGGTAAGCCGGGGTGTATCAATTTTGAGTAAATTAGCGTCCTTAAATTTCGAAATATTTAAGTTTCAATTTTGAATAAGCATCAATTTTGAATAAATTAGCTTTAATATTTACTGATTTGTCGAAGATTTTGTATTTCTCTAAATTACCGTTATATGGGGTGTGGGCGTGGTTATTGTCCGATTTTAAAAATTTCCAGCCATTTGGTATGCTGTACCAAGGCCAACAACTGTGCCAAGTTTAGAATAGATTGGTGCAGCGGTTATCAAGATATACACATGTAACCATAAGTGGGCGTGGCTACGCCCATTTTCCAAAAATTTATAATACTCTTATTTTTCGTCTAAAAATTGTTGTAAATATAAATTTTGAGTGAATAATCTTCAGTAGATACTAAAATATCGCAGTTTTCGTATTTCCGAAAATTACCGTTATATGAGATGTGGGCGTGGTTATCGTTCAATTTTTAATTTTAGTTTGCTCTATCAGAGCCAACAACTGTGCCAAGTTTGGAAGAAATTGGTGCAGCGGCTACGAAGATATACACATGTTACCATAAGTGGGCGTGGCTACGACCATTTTCCAAAAATTTATAATATTCTTATTTTCCGTCTGAAAGTTATTGTAAATATCAATTTTGAGTGAATTATCTTCAGTAGTTACTAAAATATCGCAGTTCTCGTATTTCTGGAAATTACCGTTATATGGGAAGTGGGCGTGGTTTCAGTCCGATTTCGCCCATTTTCAATACCAACCTACCTTGGATTAACGGAAACCTACATACCAAATTTCGTTGAGATATCTCAATTTTTGCTCGAGTTATCGTGTACACGGACGGACGGACAGACGGACGGACAGACAGACATGGCTTAATCGATTTCTCTATTCATTCTGAGCATTTATGTATACATTTGTCTATATCTATCTCGATTCGTTTTGGTTGTTACAAACAACCGTTATGTGAACAAAATTAATATACCCTTGTGCACAAGTGCGCTCGGGTATAAAAATGTAGTATAGCAAGTTTTGAAACAGTAACAAAAAATACAATCCCTTTTTACTGTTAAGTAGCTCATGTCCCTAGTCTTTGTCTAAGTAAGTATTACTATAGTAAGTCGTTAGGATTAGACACAGATTAGAGACATGAGGCATTTCACGTTAGTAAGAGTTTTTAGAGAGAGGACCACCGATATGTATCATCAAAAATTTAGTTATCGAAATTTATCAAGTCATCGAAATTTATCGAGTTATCGAAGTTTATAATAATCGAAATTCATCGGGTTATCCATATTTACTTACCGAGTTATTCGAAGTGATGAATGTTTATTGAGTTATCGAAATTTATTGAGACAGAAACTTAGTAGTTAAAATTTACCAATAGCTATCTAGTTAAAAAAATGTATGGGATTATTGAAATTTGTCAGGTTATGAAATTTATCAAGTTATCAATGTTTACTGAGTTATCAATATTTATTGTGTCTTTGAAACATATCGATTCATCGTATTGTATCGAGTTCTTTCAATTTATCGAGTTATCGAAATTTACTGGTTTATAAAAGTTTGTTGATGTATCGAATCGAAATCTTCAAAGTTTATCGCGCTATCGAAATGTTTATCCAGTTATCTCTATACATATTTCGAGATATATAAATTTTCCATTTAACAAGTCTGGTCATTTATGTATTTGTTTAACTGACTATCTGTAGCAATTGTAAGCTACATCCCTCTTAACTTTGTAACTGTACTATTTAATTCTATTTCCCTCTATACCTTTTAATTTAAACATGCATATTTTCATGTAATTAAGAAATCTGTTAGACTTTGCTATGCTCGTATGTTCTTGGTTTTGTAATAATTATTACTTGTTGTACTGTAAAGGATGAGACATCTTATTGCGCTAACTATAAGATTCTTTAAATAAATTAAATTATGTACACAGTTATCGAAATTTAACGATAGTCATCGAAATTTAACGAGTTATAGAATTTTGTCGAGTTATCGGTATTTTTTAATTCATCAAGTTATAGATATGTATCGAATTTCCGAAATTTATCGACTAACTAGTATGTGTCGATCAATCCAAATTCATAGTCTTTAAAATTGCTCGGGTTATCTAGAAATATCGAGCTAACACGATTTATCCAGATTGCGAAACATATCAAGCTAACGAAGTTTATCGATATCTAAATCTAAATCGATGTCTAATTTTTCCTCAAAAAAGTACTTCAAATATTGGCGACGTAAAAAAAAGAGTTACCTATAGAAGTTAAACAGAGTGTAGGTTTTGCAGAAGCTGACGGGTTTATTAAAGGTTTCCATTTCATCTAAAAAGCAACTGGTATCAGTTTTGCCGCGAATCATTTTTAGTGGTAGCCAAATTCCTTTAAAAAAGGGCTAAAAAAGAGCTAAAAACAGTCGTTGTGGCTAAAAATGGTAGCTAAAATTTTTTACTTAATATATAATATTAATATTAATATAATACAAGCATACATGCAAACATTTTCATTTCTTTACAAATGAGGTCGAGGAAAGATCAAAATGATTAGAGCCGAAATTTCATAATTTTTCTAGCATTTTGTTATACATTGTTTTTTTTTTTTTAATTCACAACTGCAATATCGTTAAGTTAATCTTCCACAAACACGGATTTGACTCATATAGTGCAAGAAATTTACGCCAAAATACTTTTTACTTAGAAAATTGAGCTAATTTCACCCCTCACGACACCAGCATGCTGGTACAATCATAAAATTTTCAAATAGTTTTTGAAGTCACACCAGCAGCTGGTACAATCACACCACAAGAACATACACGGTCAATCGACTTGATGGGCAATTTAACAAATTAAGCATATTAAGGGCCGTAAACTTATCTATTTTAAACTATAGTTAAATCGTTAATAGATAAGTTAACAGCCCTAACACTTTTACAGTATGTATGTATGTAAACGTAAGGCACATACAATACATATATGTATATATATCAGTCTTTCTTAGTTTAAAAATTCATCTCTGAAAAAAAATAGATCGAATTAAGTATACACAACTTTTTCATGCCAGGTATAAATAAATTCTGCAAAGGGCTAAAAAAAGGGCTAGGGGCAATTTTAAATTTATGTGGCCAAAAAAAGTATGTGGTAGCTAAATCTAGCCACCAAAGGGCTAAAACGGCAACACTGACTGGTATTGGTTAACATCAAAAATAGCTCATTTTATTGCAGGGATATCGTTGCTTGGAGCAATTCACTTACTCAAACTTTTATTCATTCATTTCTTGAGTACATAAAAACAAAGTTGTTGCATACGAGTATGCACATTCACTCACTTATTCAGGGGTGCACATTTTATTGCCTCATCTCTTATTTTAACTTTCTTTCTTTTTATTCTTTTTACTTGCAGGTGAACATCCTGCTGCAATGCAACACAATTCGAGCAGCATGTATAGCGGTAATTTCTACTGTAGCATTTGTTGTATGCTCTTCACCATTTTCACGTGCTGTTTGCAACATTTCCTTGCAACAACAACAGCAGCTGCAACGCTACTCACCGTGGCAACAAGAAGTGCCACAACCAAATGCAGTAAAAGCAACAATACCAGCAGTGGCTATAAAGCGCCGCCGACAGCGTCATTGCGCCAAGCAGCCGAACAACAGACAGCAAGAGCAACAGCTACAGTGGTTGCCGAAAGCAGGTGCAATAGAATAGGAAGTAGCAACAATAATTGCAGTCAAAGCCACAGTTCCAGCCTAAGCGGAAGCCGCAGCCGCAGCCACAGCCTCAGCTTCAACCTAAGGTGCATTAGCATTAGTGGTGCAACCTCAAGAAGTTCGCATGCAACACGCGCATTCAGTGAAATTACGAGATGAAGATGAAGCTGTTGTGGCCAAGCATGCACAGCACACACAGACACATTCGCACCTAAACATACGTACATATATACATGCATTGTTACTCCAAAACAAAAAATAAACACGCCTCATTTCAAAAACGCCCACACACACACACAAAATGAAGTAATTGATGCAACAGTTGCGCAGCTATAAAAGCCGCACAAGTGGCGCGTCCTTTGCGAAGGTGGAAAACCGGCTGACGCTCGTGGAGAATACGCTGCGCTCTCTAAGATGCAAGGCGGTGAGTTGGAAGTAGAAAAAGGAAGTGGAAGCATTAAAGTTTAAGCACTCAAGCGCTGAAAATGTCTCAGTGCAAACGTCCTATGCTTCGTTGCGCCGCACACAGCAGCTTCGGCTGATTCGGCGTTTTCATAGCACGCAATCTTAATAAAGCTAAGTAAAAAAAAAAAGCCGGAAAGAGCCTAGCAAGAAGTGAGCCCGCATAGCGTTGCGACCTGCATTTGATTTAGAGTGGCACCTGCGCCCGAGGGAGGTGGGGGGGAATGCTGTGGCGTGGTAGGTAGGCAGGACTTAAGGATTTAAGTGCGTTTCTTGCTTTCAGCATTTATTCGCTATTTATTTTTGAATTTTCCTGCATTCGCAGTTGCTAAACTCAGCGGCAAGTTACCCCCGGGCTTTGTAATATTAACGAAATTACATTTTCCACACAAATTCTACACAAACCCAAAACAAACATATTTAAGAAACTACTGATAATAAGTTAAGCTGTAGAGAAAATTCGCACACACACACACTTATCTACCATTATAAATGCAAAATACATATATATGTATATCCCAAAAACTAACTGTAGCGAAATTTAAGATGAAAACTTGTAGTAAAAATTAGTTAATAAAAAAAAAGAACAAATAAAACAACAAAAAAATCATCAAAATAAAGTAAGGAGATTAGCATAGCGACACTCGTACATAAATAATTTAAGCACAATTAAGCAAGCTGGAATGTAAAAGAGCAAAGGGTGCAGTTTTTATCATGAAGAACATCAATTAAATTGTTGTTGTATTGGAGGGAGTTTATATATGTATGTATCTATAAATATGTAGGCTACAAATTGTAAGACTTATTAATCGTAGTTGAAATCATTGGAGTGCATATACAACAAAAATTAACAAATGTACACATATGTATGTATGTAATCGTATATTTAATTTAAAAAAAATGTTCGATTTCGTTGCGTTCACAGTTTGAAAATCCAGAGTATGTGTCCCAATTATGATCACCATACATATAGTAAGTCTACTTAAGGTTCGATGCTGATCTGGTTGCTAATGCTCAAAACGTCTACCGCGCGGCTGGACAGGTTTATCTTACCTAACTCCTAAATGGATGCATTAAATTTCCAAACCCGCTTGGGAAAGAAAATTCGGTTTTCATTTACTTATCGACGGCTGAGTGGAAGATCGACGCCCTATCTCAGATTGAAGAACGCACCAATTCAGAATTAGTTTCAAAAACGCCCTATCTAAGCTGCCACATCAAAAACATCAGAGTTAGGTCGATCTTCCACTCACCCGTCGAATTATGGAACGTCAGGTAGTCTCAAATACATACGTATGCACGTATGTTTGCGTGTAATTTGAGTAATTGAAGTCAGTGCCATTTAATATGTAGTTAAATTAATGACTGGGATAAAAGAATAAAGAAGCATAAATTAAATTTAATATTATTTGTAATATAGCTGTAATTAATATTAATTAGCATTGCCTTGCAGGCTTTTTTGGTTTTTTTTTTTTCTGCAAGTGCGCGGCCGCTGTAATTTAGTAGTTAGAAGTGCGCCCTTCCATTTCGTAGGACCTGATTTCGAGCCCACTTTCCGACCAACATCGAAAACAAAATTAAGAAAAAAATTTTTTCTAATAGCGGTCGCCCTTCGGCAGGCAGTGGCAAACCTCCGAGTGTAATTCTGCCATGAAAAACAGCTTCCCATAAAAATACAATCGCCTTTCGGAGTCGGCGCAAAATTGTAGGTGCCTCCCCTTTGTGTGACAACATTAAGGCGCACGCAACAAAACGGATGAGAAGCTCGGCCAAAAATAACATATTGTGTAGCGCCAATCTATATACTATACTCTATACTATATGTATGTATGCAAATATAGATGGTAAATTATAACCGTGCATTAAAATCATGCATTAGCTAGTAGTTTAATCATAAAGACAATACCTGTATGTATGTGTGTATTACATATATCGCACGTTTAATAATATTGAGAAGTATTTCAACATTTCAATTTTGTGGGAAAACACGAGCAAAATTTGATCAATTCATACAGCTGGTATACAAAAAGACACTTGAAAAGACCCATTACTTCGCTATTTTTGGGAAGCTTAGCCATCTGTTAAGCTGAACATGTTCTACATATCAAGCTTTTTAGTTGTATGATGAAATCCCCAAAAACGTAAATTTTGAGTTACATGTGTATATTATTAAACGTGCGATATATGTACAAACATGTACAGTGGCGGTCAAAAACGGATGAATGGTTTTAAACTTTTAATAATTACAATATTTTTCAAGCTAAATTTTTTTGATATTTTTTTATAAAAATATGGTTCATGCTTTTTACAGAACTTAGAAAAAATTCCACAAATTTTTATCTAAATTTCGAGCTTTTTAATTAGAATTTTTAGATATTTTTTGGGTATGCAGTTAACAAGCCTGTAAAATTCTAGTAAAATAAATGCCAGTTTTGAGCGGCTAAAAAATTGCATTGATTTTAAAACATTGTTTTTTTTTTGCTCGCGGCAAACGGACTTGCGCATATTCTTTCACAAGAAATTTATGTTTATATGGAAAAAAGTGCTAAACTGCCTCAAGAAAAAAAATATATATTAAAAATCAATGCGATATTTTAGCCGCTCAAAACTTGCATTTATTTTAGTGGAATAAGCTTGGCTTAAGCTTTCTAAAAATTCTGGTTAAAAATCTCGTGATTAAGATGAAATTTTTGTAAGTTCTGTGCAAAATTTGAAACTGTAATTTATATAGTTTTTGTTAAAGCATAAACTATATTTTTATAAAAAAATATCAAGAAAATTTTAGCTTGAAAAATATTGCAAATATTAAAAACGAAACACCATTCATCCATTTTTTACCGCCACTGTGCACACGCATATAAAATACACACATAAATACATATGTATGCACGTGATTGTATTACATTTTTGCTAGATTTGATAATTTATTACATTTTAACTTTACACCACAAACACAAATAATTGAGATTATTATTATTTTTTATCGCAGCCAATTTAAATTGTATGCAAAATAAAATAATTTGATTTATTGAAAAAATTTTATCAATTTGATACACAAGTCAAACGAATAGTAAGGGAAACTGATAAATTCTATGAAATAATTAAATAAAGATGGACGGTAAGTTGCACATAATTAATTTTTCATTACACTAAATAGCCTGTTTTTAATGTTTAAACATACTTGTTTAATGACTCACTTTTACTACTTTTCAGAACTTTTGCCTACAATTTTCGACTTTCTGTTTGATAAGAATGAAATTAGTAAGTTAATAGTAAAAATGTATTTTTAAAACAAGTTTTCTAAGTACGAACCAAGTCGGACTCTAAATACCGGTTTCCCAATGTCTCGACTCCTGCGCCACCTAGAGGATTATTTCGTCTTTCATATTACATTGTGAAGATTCAAGTCACTAGGAACTATTTATTTTTCAATTAGAATATTTTTCACATTAAAATAGCCCTCGGTTGAGTTTCTTACTTTTCCAAGATTTTTTTTTTACTAATTTCCTATGCATCCAGTTAGACCTTAATCATTCGTAAATCGTAAATTTTTGATTTTTAACAAAGTTATACCAACCAACAGTATAAATTTTTATAGCGTTGCATATATGCTGAGGCCTTATGTGCCAGTCCGGTCGAGTTGGTAAGGCAATTTTCTTCTTTTTGGTGAAGGTATTTGATGGTATGCAGGAGTTGGTCAGTACTTGGAGGTATCAGTATGAAGAAGTTTCGAGTAGCCGGATGAACCACGACTCTAGGAATCTGCCTCTTTGAGTCTTAAGGATGCAATAACGGCTATCTTTCGAGCTATTAAGTCAAGCGAAAGTAGATGTGAAAGTAGATGTGTAGCTGACAGTTCCATTATGTTTTCATCTCAGAGCAGCTCACTATCGAGAATTATACCCAAACTTACAGATATTTATATCAAAAGCCGTTTCGCTAGCGTAGAGTCAAAAGTTATTAAGTTTTTTTTTTTTTTTGTAAAAACTCATAATTTAATATATGAGGCAAGAGAAATTAAAAATGCAAAGGCTCCAAAAGTATTATCAAGCTTAGTGACGAGTCCTTCGAAATCGTATGATGATTCTGATTTTGAGTCTGATTTTTTTAAACACGCAAAATGTTTTATTCAAAGTTTTGCAAAATGCTTAGAGAAAACGGCTATGCGTAGTTTTTTCCTTTGCTGTAAAATTAAAAAAAAAAAATTGACCTTTCGCTCTAGGCTAGCCAACTGTTTTTTGCGATGGCCTTCTATTTATCTAAAAGATTTTTGTATGGGCAATAATTTTAGGCCTTTTTTTTTCAAGTTCAAACTTGAATGGACAGTACTTGATTGTGGAAATATTTTCGTCAAGCTACATAAATTTTTAGTAAAATTAAAAAAAAAACTCTTATTCAGGATATTTTCAACAACACTTAAAATTGACCAAAAACTGAACTAATTTTTAAACTTGTCGTGCCTAAAAAAATAATTTTATATTGCAAACTGCAGGGCAATGCCACTTCCGAACGAGTTTTTTTTCAGCTAAATATAAGCAGTTTAATTTACATTTTAACTTAATTTTAGAAATCAACTCAATCGCGAAATTGCCACATTGAATATCAATCGATGAGTAAATGCAATGCGCATAATTTGTATACATATTTATATACTTTTGTAAATGTGCTCGGTTAATTTCGAACACCTGTATGCGGACACACATACACATGCATACATACATACATATGTACGTGCAGTCACTTACGACGGTCAGTGTTAATTGCCACTGAATTGAGTTCAATAGCAAATACAATTGAAATAATAAAAATACATATATGTACATACATACACATATTTATATATATTTGTACATAAAGCTGGAGTATCTATTTATAAATAATAAGCAAAGTAAATAAAAATCAATAGAATTAAGTTATTTTTAAACGTAATTAAATTTTCATTAAAATGCAGTAAACCTCACAATGAGGTCAATGAACTAAACGCAGTGTCTGTAAATACAGCTAGTTTTCGGAGATAACATGTGCATCAGAAGAATATTTATGTAGTAGTTGGACAAAAATTTAAAATTTAGACAAAAAGAGATTCAATAGATTTTCATACAGAAAAAGTTATAGAAAGCAGGAGGTGTAAAACGAAATTTGAAGGAAATATCAAATAAATAAAATTCAA